GGGCCTCACTTGCTTACCTCTTGACCTTGCTTGTACTGTGATCACTATATATATATGCCTACTTGTTTACTTTTGCTAGGTTGTGATCACTGTATCTCTTGTTTTGTTATAAACCTGCATGTGAACTGGTCTTGTGACCGCTTGCTTGTGCTCGGAATTTGTGTGGAATCCTTGAGATCCACCCTGAGCTTGCTTTGCTTTGCTTTGACTGGTCTTGTGACCCTGTGGTTGTCTCCCACTGCGCCTATGGGGGTGTGTCAAACATTGTATGTTTATATTGTGTAGGCTGTAGTGGGTTACACCTTAGGGGGTACACAAAGTTAGGGTTTCCTACTTGTACCAAACTCTGTGCTAGTTCATTCCATTCCTGCTCAGTTATTTCTGACGAGTACTGCAGCCTCAGGAGAGGTGCTGCTGGAGCTGGTACCAGTGCTTCCCCTCCTACCCGGGAGCTCCCCTCCCTTCAGCGGATCCGAGAGTGGTACACGCGGCGCTGCAGTCTTCGGAGTGGCGCTCCTGGTGTTGCGGACCCTGGTACTGCAGGTGCTGCTGGTGCTGAGGACCCGGACGGTGGAGCTGCTGCTGGTGCTGAGGACCCGGACGTTGGAGCTGCTGCTGGTGCTGAGGACCCGGGCGGTGGAGCTGCTGCTGGTGCTGAGGACCCGGGCGGTGGAGCTGCTGCTGGTGCTGAGGCCCCGGGCGGTGGAGCTGCTGCTGGTGCTGAGGACCCGGGCGGTAGAGCTGCTGCTGGTGCTGAGGACCCGGGCGGTGGAGCTGCTGCTGGTGCTGAGGACCCGGGCGTTGGAGCTGCTGCTGGTGCTGAGGACCCTGGCGGTGGAGCTGCTGCTGGTACTGAGGACCCTGACGCTGGTGTCTCTACTGGTTCTGGAGACGCTGCGCGGCCGCGACCGTACTTCGTACCGCTTCTTCAGCAGGTTCTTAGTCATACTCCTCCTCCTTGTCCTCCTTCCTCCTTAGAGTGTCCTCCGCCTGTCCAGTCGTAGTCACAGTTACCGCCTGCCTCGCCTCTCCCTGGTCCCTCTCCTTACACTGGTCCCACAGGAGGTCTTACGGAGCGTCGTGAGCCTGAGTCTCGTCCTGCGTTGCCTGTTCGTACTACTCGCACTGGTCGTCGTGTCCCACGTGAGCGTCCTCCCCCTGTCCCTGGCACTCATTACATGACTCTGCGTCCCTCCACTGCTCCTCAGCGTGTCCCTCTGCCGTCTCCTCCTGCGTCCTCTCTTCCTACTCCTCCTGACCCGGAGTCTGACTCTCGTCGTGCTGCCAGTCCCACTGTCACGTGTCTCCTAGCTACTGTTATCACTGACCCTACCTTGGAGCCCTCTGCTGCGTCTGCTCTGGTCGCTGAGTTGGTTGACTTTGCTGCTCGGTGCCGTCCCTGTCTGTCCTCCGTCCGTCGGGGGTGAGTGTGCTCTTAGCACGGACGTCCTTGAGGACAGACATGAGGAGTTCCAGTGCTTTGCTGCTGCTTTGCCCCATCTCGTGTCCATGCTAGTTGCCCCTGAGGGAGACCCGGATGCACCAGACATCCCGACCCCGCGCTCTTACGCAGAGGCGATGGCGGGTCCCTACTCCTCTCAGTGGCAGACAGCCATGGACGCAGAGATGGCTTCGTGGAAGTCCACAGGCACCTATGTCGATGAGGTTCCCCCACCTGGGGCGAACATCGTCAGTGGCATGTGGATTTTCAGGGTGAAGCGGCTGCCGGGTTCTCCTCCTGTCTTCAAGGCGCGCTACGTTGCTCGAGGCTTCAGTCAGCGAGAGGGAGTAGACTTCTTCCAGACCTTCTCCCCCACCCCGAAGATGACCACTCTTCGGGTGCTGCTGCACATAGCCGCTCAGCGCGACTACGAGCTTCACTCTCTTGACTTCAGCACTGCTTTCTTGCAGGGCAGCCTGCATGAGGAGATCTGGCTGCGCCGCCCTCCTGGCTTCACTGGGTCGGTTCCTCCTGGTACCCAGTGGAGGCTCCAGCGGCCGGTCTACGGTCTCCGCCAGGCGCCGCGTGAGTGGCATGACACACTGAGGACTACACTTGCGGCTCTTGGGTTCGCTCCCTCTACTGCTGACCCGTCGCTGTTTCTACGCACCGACACCTCGCTGCCGCCGTTCTACATCCTCGTGTACGTCGACGACTTGGTCTTTGCCACTGCTGACACTGCGGCACTCGCCCACGTGAAGTCGGAGCTGCAGAAGAGACACACGTGCACTGACCTGGGTGAACTGACAAGCTATCTTGGCTTGCGGATCACCCAGGACAGAGCACGGCGCACCATCACCCTTACAGCCTGGCTCACCGCTGCCTGCTCCCTCTCCTTACACTGAGCAGACAGGTATTCTTGCTGAGCGTCGAGAGCCTTCGTCGCGTCCTGTCTCGCCTGTTCGTTCTGGTCGTACTGGTCGTCGTGTTTCTCGTTCACGTCAGCCGACTGTCCCCAGTACGCACCTTGTTGTCCGTCGTCCTTCCTCTGCTCCGCAGTCTGTTCCTCTACCGTCTCCCCCTGCGTCCTCTCTGCCTGACGTTCCGGACCCTGCGTCTGACCGGTTTCGTGCTGACCACCCTACCGTCACGCGTCTGCTAGCCACTGTTGTCACTGATCCGTCGTTTGCGTGTGCTGCTGCGTCTGCCTTGGTCGCTGAGCTTGTCGACTTTGCTGCTGCTTGTCGTCTAGACTACGCTGCCAGTCTTGTTGCTGAGTCTGAGTCTGTCTGTCCTCCGTCCGTCGGGGGTGAGTGTGCTCTTGGCACGGACGTCCTTGAGGACAGGCACGAGGACCTTGAGTGTCTTGCAGCCGCTGCGCCCCATCTCGTGGCCATGCTGCTTGCCCCTGAGGGAGACCCGGATGCACCAGACATCCCGACCCCGCGTTCTTACGCTGAGGCGATCGCGGGTAAGTACTCCTCTCAGTGGCAGACAGCCATGGACGCAGAGATGGCATCCTGGAAGTCCACTGGCACTTACGTCGACGAGGTTCCCCCTCCTGGGGCGAACATCGTCAGTGGCATGTGGATTTTCAGGGTGAAGCGGCCGCCAGGTTCTCCGCCTGTCTTCAAGGCTCGGTACGTTGCTCGAGGCTTCAGTCAGCGAGAGGGAGTAGACTTCTTTCAGACCTTCTCCCCCACCCCGAAGATGACCACTCTTCGGGTGCTGCTGCACGTTGCCGCTCACCGTGACTACGAGCTTCACTCTCTTGACTTCAGCATAGCTTTCTTGCAGGGCAGCCTGCACGAGGAGATCTGGCTGCGCCGCCCCCCGGGCTTCACTGGGTCGTTCCCTCCTGGTACCCAGTGGAGCCTCCAGCGGCCGGTCTACGGTCTTCGCCAGGCGCCACGTGAGTGGCACGACACACTGAGGACTACGCTTGCGGCTCTTGGGTTCGCGCCTTCTACTGCTGACCCGTCGCTGTTTCTGCGCACCGACACTTCACTGCCGCCATTCTACATCCTCGTGTACGTCGACGACTTGGTTTTTGCCACTGCTGACACTGAGGCTCTCGCCCACGTGAAGTCGGAGCTGCAGAAGAGACACACGTGCACAGACTTGGGTGAGCTGCGCAGCTACCTTGGCTTGCAGATCACCCGGGACAGAGCACGCCGCACTATCTCCCTGACTCAGTCACACATGGTGCAGCACGTCCTTCAGCGCTTCGGCTTCACCTGGTCTTCAGCACAGGCCACTCCTCTGGCGACAGGTCACTCGCTCTCAGCTCCACCTTCGGACGAGTCCGTAGAGCCGAGTGGTCCTTACCCAGAGCTAGTCGGCTGCCTCATGTACCTGATGACTTGCACTCGACCTGACCTCGCGTACCCTCTTGGTCTTCTGGCTCGCTACGTAGCTCCTGGTCGGCACCGACCTGAGCACATGGCTGCTGCTAAGAGGGTACTGCGCTACTTGTGCAGCACATCAGGCATGGGGCTAGTGCTTGGAGGACGGAGTGAGGTGGTCCTCACTGGGCACTCAGACGCGTCTTGGGTTGACGACCAGGCTACGCAGCGGTCGTCACAGGGTTACACTTTCAGCCTTGGCTCTGGCTCTGTTTCTTGGCGTTCTACTCGCTCGTCTTCAGTTCTCAGCTCCAGTTGTGAGGATGAGATCTACGCCACTGCCATGGCTGCACAGGAGTTGCGTTGGCTCACCTACCTGCTGACCGACCTGGGAGAGCGGCCTCGTTCTCCTCCAGTGCTGTACGTCGACAACAAGGCTGCCATTGCCTTGTGTGAGGAGCACAGAATGGAGCACAGAACGAAGCATATTGCTCTGCGTTACTTCCTGGCTCGAGAGTTGCAGCAGCGAGGCCAGCTTCGTCTCCGTCACGTGGACACTCGGGCCAACACTGCTGATATATTCACCAAGGCACTTCCGTCTGGTGATCATCAGCGTTTTTGTACTTTGTTGGGCCTTGTGCCTACGTTTCCGCACTTGCTGTAGACTTTGCTTGTACTGTGATATATATATATATACCTGCATGCTTGCTCTTGCTAGCTTGAGATCACTGTACTGTTCTTGTTGCTTATATACCTCTGCATGTGGACTGGCCTTGTGGCCGTTTGCTTGTGCTCAGTGTGTGTGGTGACGTTGTGATCCACCCTGAGCTGTGTTTTGTTTCTTCTCTTGACTGGTCTTGTGACCGTTGCTTGCTCTGGCTATCCCCCATTTCGCCTATGGGGGTGTGTCAACATATATGTTTATAATCGTCTAGGCTATATTGGGGATAGCTCTAGGGGGTACAAAATTCTCTCGATACCCTAGTCTTGTACTCTCACCCTCCTACCCAATACATATCATTCCCCTTAATCTCAACATCCCAAGTCACAAACATGCTCTTGTGGAACTCTCCAGCTCAGAGACGATGAACGTATTGTAACCGTTACACCGAGAATGCAGGGTCGAGAAAGCTGCATTTATTATTGTCAATTGTGAGGTAGGTAGCAGTAATATATATTCGTGGGCAAGGCATCTTGCCCATGCACCCTGTGACCTATCTCGAGGTGGCGAATCCGACGCGCATGGGCTTGCCAAAGTGGAAGATGGAGTGGTACGCCATGAGAAACGTGTCCCCCAGTATCCTGGTGCGCACACACACATCCCGTCCCCGCAGCAGCCACCCCGCAGAGCAGAGTACAGAAACACACACAGACAAGGAACGGAGGGCATGGATGATTGAGTGTGTGAGCACGAGTTCTCGAGACAGCATTGGGACCAGAATAAAATGCCAACGCTTCCAAATGTGGAACACGAAGTGACTACAGCGACTACTCTCATCTGCTCCCACTCTTCTTCCAGCAGCACAACATGGCAACCGCCCTTTTCCCCCCTCCACTCTCTCTTCCCCAGCCTGCCAACAGTCATTCCCCCCTCCACTCTCTCTTCCCCAGCCTGCACGCACCACGCATGGCCATTGGGCGAGATGGCAAAGTCCATGCCCACGAACGCCGCAAAGCACGCCGTGCCGCCGCTCCTGCCTCCCCCTGAGCGCGGGTCGCTGGGCTGGGCGACCTGCAGCACGTACTGGCGCGGTGAGAGCGTGAAGGTGCGCCCCTCTATGGTGAAAGAGAGCGGTGGCAGCGCGGGCACTTGGGTGCACGGCACTGCACACGGCTGCACGCACACAGGAACAGGGGAACGGATGGTTCAAACAGTGGGTTGATGGGTGCGAGTGGGACCAGAGGGCGGAAGGGGATTATTTACACATGCAGGTTGAGGGGGAGAGGGAGAGAGGGAAATGATAGATAGGGGGAGAGAGGGGGGCAGGGGTAGGGGGAGGACAGGAGAGGCAGAGATAGAGGAAGAGAGGGAAAGGGAGGAAGGGAGAAAGAGGGAGGGGAGGGAAAGGGCGAAGAGTGAAAGGGGGAGGGGTGAGGGGTACATGTAGGGAGAGGGAGCTTACGGGGGAGGAGCACATGGAGATGCCCATTTGAGAGTAGATCTGATGGATAGCTGCCTGCAGTGCACGGCACGGGACAGACATACGTGAGCGCCGGGAGTGGGGAGCTGAGCAGGACACGTGGAAAGGGAACAGTGCAGGAAGACGGAACGGGGCGTGGGTGCAGATGTGGTGAGGGGTGCAGCGTGGGCATCTTACAGTGGGGCCGATGATGAGTGACGTGCCAGTGTCGGGTACAGCGTCACAGCCACTGCTGCATGAGGCTGGCAAGCACACATGGAGAGAGGGCGCAGAGGAGGAGGAGGGAGAGAGGGAAGAGAGGAGCAGGGGGACGAGAGTAAGAAGATGCTGGGGGGGCTTGCAGAACGAGGACAAGCGAGGCTTTCTGGGACGACATCTATTCCAGAATGCGGATGCTGATTTCACAGGCACTGAAGTATCCGCACGAGTTGGCGTAAGAGTGCCAAATGAGCAGGAACAAGGTCTGCATGGATGGAGAGCAATTGGACAGTGCGAGTGCCTTACCGATGGTCATCGCTCCCATCTTGACCTTGCCCATCCGAATCTGCTCGCACAAAGGGAGTGTGGAAGCAAAGGCGAGGCGGGGATTGCAGGGATGAAAAAGTGGGCCTTCCACACAACAGCCAATGCGGTACCCACACCACAGCCACCCAATAGACAGAATAGTATTAAGAAAAGAATCGTTGGTGCGCGGGTGAGTGCTCACGTTCCAGTATCTGCCAGAGCCGACTACGGGTGTGAAGGTGTGCGAGCCTGAGTAGCGCGCAGGGTTGACGCCCCCGAACATGACCTCGCCGCCGGCCTTGCTGCCGCCGTTCTGGTTCATCCAGAAGGAGAAGAGCGGCTTGGGCAGCAGCCCCTGCTCCTGCATCGTCTTCCTGGAGGGGCGCAGCATATGAGGGGAATCGTGGGGTTGCGTCGTATGAAGGATGTGCGTGCACGTGCACATGTGAGCATGTGTGTGTGCATGTGCAGATCATGTGTACGTGTGAGTGAGTCAGTGAGCAAGTGACTGTGTGTGTGCGTGTGTGTGTATATGTGGGTGGGTGTGTGTGGGTGTGTGCGTGTGTGTTTGCGTCTTTCATGCTTGCAGTGTGTTCATGCATGCATATGAGTGTATGTGTGTGCGTGCACATGTGGATGTGTCTGTGCATGTGCAATCATGTACGTGCGAGTGAGAGAGTGAGTGAGAGAATGAGTTACAGAGTGAACGTGTGAGTGAGTGAGAGAGTGAGTCTGTTTGTGTGCGTGTGCATGTGTGCGTGTGCGTGCTCTGTGTGTGTGTGTGTGTGTGTGTGTGTGTGTGTGTCTGCGTTTTGTGCTTACACTGTGCTCGTGCACGTGAGTGCGTGCGAGTGCGCGCACACGTCTGCATGTGTGCGCATACGTGCATGGGTTCACGCATGGGTGTGCATGCACGGGTGGATCCACAAGTGCGTGCTCACCACAGAGGGTCGGTGCGGTGCTTGGCGGCCTTGATGGGTCCCAGCCCCACAATACCGTCAAACCGCGATCCCAGGTTCGCCGAACCTGGCAGCCACGTGGCCTCCGTGATGGCCTGCGCGCCCACACACACGCATGCAGCACGCCAGGGGACAAGGGGGGGTGGGGGGTTGACACACAGGTCAGGGGGGCGAAGCTGACTATTGGTGGTGGCTGCACTGTTGGGAGCAAGGGGAAGGGCGCAGCTAGGGTGTGTATGACAAGAGGTGCTTGAGCCAAGCGGGCGGGCTGCCTTGCTGCGAAGCAACGCCGTTGTGAGAAGTCGGTCAACGTTCACCTGTCGTCACGTGCATGCGATGTCCGGGATGTGTATGCTGTACTTTCTGTGCCGTCCAGCCCATCATCTAATCCCCTGGCCCGCCACCCTCCTCTTCCCATCTGGCTCATCCCTCACTCCCTTCCCTGCTCTCGCCTCCGCTTGCTCGCATGCACATGCTTGCTTGCGAGCAAGTGCCCCGCGCACATGCCCCCGCGCACATGCCCCCGCGCACATGCCCCCGCGCACATGCCCCCGCGCACATGCCCCCGCGCACATGCCCCCGCGCACTTGCCCCCGCGCACATGCCCCCGCGCACATGTCCCCGCGCACATGCCGCCGCGCTCATGCAACGCGCACACACCCGCGCACATGCCCCCGAACACATGCCCCCGCGCACAACCCCCGGGGCACATCCCCCGCGCACCCCGCGCGCACATGCCCCAGCGCACCTGGTTGGCGACCTTGGTGCGGCCGACGGTGACGGTGTCCGTGCCCTGCGCGCCCTTCACCTTGCCCGACAGGTACGTTATGTACACCGTGCGCCCTGCCACAACCACGCGCACCACGCACGAGAGAGAGGACGGGGATCGTCAAGGGTACGGCAGGTGCGTGGGCGCCGAGTCGCACCGAGTGCATTGTGATGCGTGCAGCGTGGCAGTGCAGCGGGGATGCGAGACAACATCCGCGGCATCTACAAGCCCTTTGCTCTTCTCCCGCTCCATGCACGCATGGCCTCTGCAGCGCAAGTGCGTGTGGGGTAGCATGCGCGTGCGTGTGGCTAGCATGCGCGTGCGTGTGGCTAGCATGCGCGTGCGTGTGGCTAGCATGCGCGTGCGTGTGGCTAGCATGCGCCTGCGTGTGGCTAGCATGCGCGTGCGTGTGGCTAGCATGCGCGTACGTGTGGCTAGCATGCGCGTGCGTGTGGCTAGCATGCGCGTACGTATGGTGGCATGTGCGCGCGAGGAAGGGCTCACCAGTTGTTTTAAACGACTTGGACTTGGAGCTGTTGAAGCGGTTGTGCGTGTAGCACGCTATCTGATGAGACGCACAGGGGGGCACGGCACGGCACAGCGAGGGACGCGGGGAGTGGCATGGCAAGCAGAACACGGGTGGTGCGAGGGCGGGCGGTCATGGGTACGGAATGGTGGTGTGGTGGCAACGAAAACGGGATACGTGAAGTGGAGGGGACAGGGGGTGATGGGGGATGCGGAAGGAGTGAAAACATCTCGAGGCCGAACGAGTGGATGGAAACAGGGGGAGAGGGGGGGAGGGCTCGGGGGGGGGGGGGGGAGGGGGGGGGGGAGGGCTCGGGCGGGGGGCGAGGGGCGAGCGGCGTACGTTGGTGCGGCAGGTACTGGAGGGCACCCAGGTGTCGGAGGAGCCAGTGTCGAAGAGCATGGAGAAGCGCTGCGGCGGGGTGCCGATGCTCACGGTGCCGTAGAACTGCATGTTGAGGTAGTTGCTCAGCCGCACCGCCGTCGACGACGGCACCGCCAGACTGCCGCGCGCACGGGGGGAGGCGCACGAGCGGGAGGATGAGGGGGGTTGGGGAGGGGGGTGGCCGGGGGTAGAAGGTGGGCGGGGGGGGGCGGGGGGAGGGGGGAGAGTGTGGTGTTTGAGAGGGTTAGGGCGCAGGGGGACGTGGAATAGACGGGATGCGACGATGGCGCGTGGCGGGTAACGAGGGTATATGATGGGTCGGGACTGGCACGAGACGCGGTGGTGGGAAAACGTTTTTCGTCGACTCACAGGTCAGCCAGTTCCTGGGGTCTTGTCGCATTCGCCATCCCGCTTATATCGAATTGCACGGCCCGTTGTCTCGCCCACGCGCCCATACCGCGTATGTCCGCCTCAGTGACCTCCCTTTTCTGCAGGGAGATGCTCTGCACCGCGTCAACCGGCGGCGGGGATCGCGCCGCCGATGCTGGGGCTACCATGCATGTTATAGAGGCCATGGCGACTGTAACGAGGGTGTGTACGAGGAGGGACGTGGTCCTGGCGGAGAACGGGCGGGAAGGCGCAGTGGGTGGGGGAGCCGGCGGACAGCTCGCACAGCGCCAACACCGTCGCCTGCGCGGCCATTGGGCGGCACTGTCCGTTTTTCTTCGCTGTGCGCGGGGATCGGACAGCGTCATGGAAAAATCACTACCCCTTGCTGGCCCGCTCTCTGCCCCTGCTCTCGTCATGGACGCCGTTTTCCTCTCGGGTTGTCACCACCGCTGTCCCTGAAAAGCTATTAGTTTTTTAAGGGGCTATAATAATTCCGCGCTGCCGTGCGAGAGCGCAGAGAGGGGTCTCTGTATGCGGAGAGCGAGAGAGCGGCTGAGATGAAGCATGCGATGGGACGGGCGATGGTGCTGGGTCGTCAGCAGCTCGCACGTCTTTCGTCTTTCGTGCTTTACGGGAATCGAAAGGCAGGCAGCGACATGGGAGGGATACGAGGAGCTTAGTTGTCAAGTGATGATCAGTGGGCTACTACGATGCAACGGTGCTGGGAGGTGGCGGAGGCCATAAGATGAGGGAGATTGCTTCCGCACCGGCTGTGTGGCAGCCTCGGCGCAGGAACAAGGCGATGTCGGCTGGTCGGCAAGATGAAGCGAAGAGATGCTAACGCGAATTGCGGGTCGAAAGCTGTTGTGTACCTCCAAGTTGGGATGGTCGTGGAAATCGAAGAGTGGAAATCGAAGAGTTGAAATCAACTCGGGGAGGGGACCGAGTGGTGCAAGAAGGGATGGTCAAATTGAACAATATTTTCGCAACGCGAAAGGCCTTGATCCGCACCGCGCCAAATTTGGGGGGCGGTGCACCTTCGTTTCACAAACAAGAATAACTTGGGGGTGTTGGGAGGGAGTGGGAAGGGAAGATGTACAGGTAACAAATCAACGATTTACTGACCGATGGGATCTTCTCCCTAGCTCGAATTGTGAAACCTGCCCTGTGTTGAATGAAAGTTTACGGTCGGGGTTCACTTTACCAGCCGAAGCGCAAAGCTCTCGCATCGCCAAACCAAAAACATTTTCCAAGGGTGGCATACATTTCCCGCCAGTGAAGGTTCGCGCTTTTCGTTACGACTCACCTCGATTGATGCTAATAAACGAGAGTCAGCCTCAGAATAGTTAAAAAACATATCTCAATTGTGTCCGTATTAGTGTTTACTTTTGGTTTTTTTTATACACTGATTTTCAGTCTGGGAGTTTTGTTACACTGATTTTCAGGCTAACCCTGTCATTACCTTTAAAATCAGTGTAAAATTCATTCTCGGAACAAAAAAATACTTTGATCCATCAATGTAAGCTTTTTGCATGATCCTCATTAAACGCACATATCGTTTCATGCTACACTAGTCGCTTGTATACTCTAAAGTGAAATTGGTTTCATTAGTAATAATCATCATACATGAAACCAACATTCGCTTCATCATCCTCATCTGACTCATCAGCCTCTCGCGCCTTGCCCTTCCCTACGTACGGCCTAACGGGTGCATGTGTTTAGACATGTCTTCTCGTTTTTTGCCTCCGCCAGATGTCCACGGCACCTGGCCAGCCGTACGCGTACTTCAGCATGTGCAGCGCCATCAGCTCGCTCAGCCGCTCGTCACAGAGGGATGTCCGGGTCCAGCTTTTGCTCACGTTTTGGTGGCCGAACTCAAGATCGCACTCAACTGTGCTCAACGGGAGAACCGCCAGTGCCTGCCACAGGGTCATCAGGTTGGGGTAGATGCGGGGGGCAGTCGTTCGTTTTGAGCATGTTATGGAGCCCCTGGTGGAAATCCTCATCCTCATGTGTCAGAATGTTATTATTCTCTAGCCTGCAGTGGGGTACTCTATAGCGAGTACAACCCCTTAGGGTTTCCTATATGTATCCTCTTGCTTGCTAGTGAACCTCCTCCTTTGCTCATTTCTCTCTTGCCTAGCTAGGGTTTACCTAGCTATGGCTCCTTATCGCGCCTACTATTTTAACATGCTATCAGAGCGGTTACGCTCCTGGCCTGTGGGCCCGCCTGCTTCCGCTGCCTTCCTGTGTGTCGCGCGTCCCGTGGCGCGCGATGTTCGTTTTTTCTTCCCGCCGCGCGCTCGGGGCGCGCGGCGGTTTTCTGCCCGCCGTGGCCCCGAGGCGCGCGGCGGTTTCCTCCCTCGTGCGTCACCCCGGGGACCCGCGCTTCCCCCCCTCCCGTCGACCGCCCCGTCGCCCGTCGAAGCGCCCCCCGTCGCCCGTCGAAGCGCCCCCCGTCGCCCGTCACGGAGCCCGCGGACCCGCGCGTCGCCCCCCGTCGCCCGACGCGGCCCGCGCGACCTGCGCCAGGCCCGCGCGCGGCCCGTACGGGCTGCGCCAGGCCCGCGCGCGGCCCGGGCAGCCTGCCTAAGGGCCGCGCGCCGTCCCCCTCGCCGTCCCCCGCGCCGTCCCCCGCGCTCCTGCCCCGTGCCACCCGTTTTAGGGTTTGGGGGTGGCGAGTGTGGGGGTGGCGGTTATGGGGGTGCAAGAGTGTGCGCCGTCCCCTGCTCCTCCTCCTCCTCTGTCTCCCACTGCTGCAGCTGCCGCTGAGGGGGGTGGGTGTGTGGGGAGCCGAAGGAGTGGTGCTAGGGGGGTGACGTGGGAGTGGAGTTAGGGGTTCAGCAGGGGGTGTGTGTCAAGGGTGTGGGTCAGTTGGAGGAGGTTGTGTGGAGGTAGCTGTCGTGTCGCCTGCAGCGCCTGTAGTCCGTCGCCCTTGCTTCGGTAGCCAGTGAGCCTGTTGCACCAGTTGCCAGTGGGTCCGTTGCTCCTGCCGCTCGTCTTAGCCGCGGAGCCAGTCACTCCAGTAGTCCGTCGCCCTTGCTTCGGTAGCCACTGAGTCAGCCGCTCCTGTGCCCGTGCCTCTGCAGCTTCAGTCGTTGCCTCCCATCTTCTCTCCTTCCACAGTTCCTCCTCCTCCTCACTTGCCCGCTGTGATTACCTCTAGCTTTGCTTATTATTGTGAACTCCTGCTATGCTTGCTCATTGTGCTGATTACACCCCACTTTGGCTATGGAGGTGTGTCAGAATGTTATTATTCTCTAGCCTGCAGTGGGGTACTCTATAGCGAGTACAACCCCTTAGGGTTTCCTATATGTATCCTCTTGCTTGCTAGTGAACCTCCTCCTTTGCTCATTTCTCTCTTGCCTAGCTAGGGTTTACCTAGCTATGGCTCCTTATCGCGCCTACTATTTTAACATCATGGTGTTGCGACAAGATGTGACAGAAGGTTTTGAGCTCCAGCTGTGCTGCCTGCATGTTGAAGCCTGTGTATAGGGTGGGTGGGACAGAGAAACAAAGGGCACATATGAAGCAAAAATCGAGTACAATCATATGACGCCACAACACAAATAAAAACACATCTGGCAGCCCCCCGCCAAACAGTGCAGCGTTCTCCTCCAGCCACACGAGGCGCGCGTGCCACCAATCTGCTTCAATTCCCACACCCGCACATTCAGGTTGCAGGCAACTTCCCTTGCGGAGTGCATGCACAGCTTCACGCAGTCCCCGAACGAACCACCATACTTGTGCCCTGTGATTGGCTCCTCCCGTAGTGTTAAGCTATGTGAAGTTGGCTGGTCGTCCTCGTCGATTCCGTCAACGGTCACTGTTCGACCGCCTGTTGCATGCTACTCAATGAAGCGTGACAGGTGCTTGCTAAGACCCCCGCCAAAGGTCGCGCCATACTCCAGGTACCGGTGCTTGATGTCGGTTAAGGTACTGCCCACCTCCTGCGTGACAAGTGTGCTGTCAACCTGTCAGAAGGGAAAGGGAAAAAAATAATAATAAAAAAAAAAAAAAAAAAACAAGAATTGAAACACACCCTTAAGTAAACAAAACTTGAACACACACTTAATGGCGAATAAGCACTGGACTTACATTCCGCCTCTGGAAAAACCTGTTGAGCGCGTTAAGGTCTTCCAAAATGCCCGGCTAGAAGATAGAGACAGAAGTGAAACTTCAGTATCTGTACTATAGCCGTCATCTTGTGCTTCTACTCGATGGAGACCACTACTCCTGCCCCGAGCACCCTGCAAAGTCGTGCCACCGCCTCTCCACGCGAAAGCCACCGAATGTCGTACAGGCCTTGATGCTCCAGGTTTGTCTTGTGGAACTCCATCTGAAGCGTTCGTACCAAACCTAGGAGCGGCCGACAATGTCCCCTAAACTCCAGATTGCACTGCCGATGATGGTTACGTCCGGAAACTGTTACTAAGAAATGAGCTATTTTTACAGTTGTCAGCCTTGCACACTAAAGGAACTCCTCTTTTTGGGGTCACCTCTGAGGGTCCCTAGGTGCTTGACCTAAGCCAGCCCCTATCCAAGAGTCTGAGTGTGTCAAGAGAGTATGAGTCTTGAGTGGTAAGATGGCAGTAATGAATATCCTTTTGACGGCGTATGCAGATTATCCGTGAGCAAATCAATCTTCAGCAGCGTGTGCGAAAGGAGAATATTCAGAATCAAGTATATTTTGCTTAGACCAGCACACACAATTATATGGTTTCTATTACTATTTATTCCTAGTGCTAATTTCAGAATAGCTAGGCAAGAATGATTGAACTAGCAGAAGTTTGGGTACAAATATGAAACCCTAGTTGGGGTTGTACCCCATATTGGCTACCCCACTACAGCCTACAAGCATAATACAGTTTAACACACCCCCATAGGCAAAGTGGGGGAGAACAAAGGGTCACAAGACCAGTCCAGCAAAGCAAAGCAAAGCCCAGGGTGGATCACAACGTCACCACACTCCGAGCACAAGTAAAGGCCACAAGGCCAGTTCACATGCAGTGCTAGATATAGTACAAGACAAGCAACACAGTGATCAAAACCTAGCAAGCAAGCAACAAGATATATATAAAGTACAGTACAAAGAATGTCAAGCAGTGAGCAAGTGAGGAAACGTGGACACAAGGCCTAAAGAAGTACAGTGCCGCTGATGATCACT